AGAATTAGGCTTGGTGTGGATTAATGATTGTACATTGAGCATTGAGTCCCCTATACAGAATTTTATTGTTGTTAACAACCATTTGATCAATAAATATGAGATGCTCTCTCAAAAAAAAAAATCAATACACAAATATTTATTGCATCACAAATACATTTTAACATCCATTTCTTAGATATTGCACATCTTTGGACAAATCTCCTGAATTCAGTTGAAACATTATTATTCATGTAAAGTGTATAAATAAAATTAATATATTCTGAAACAAGAACATGAGTAAAGATAAAGTGTAAGTGTAAGCCACGCGAACAAAAATCAATGGAGGAAACAGAGATTTTAATGGGAAGAGTCCTAGAGGGGAAGTTGGAGAGGTCACACTGAGTGGAGGCAAATTCCACGGTTCTGCAGGTATGGGTGAAGCAGAGAACAGAAGGGTGATGGGCTGGAGAAGTGAGCTGAGGCCGTGGGGCAGAGAACTTGGAATGACAGGCTAAGGTGTATATACTACAACTTAGCCAGGCATCAAGAAACCCACTTAAATGCTGTAGTACAAGAGTGACTTATCAGAGCTGCAGTTTGGGAAGATTTATCTAGTAGGATAGATAAGTGGGAAGGGACAAGTGAAAAGAAGCCTACTTAGATGGCCACTAAAGAGTGAAGATGAGCGGTGACCAAGATGCTGAAGGGTAAGAGCACAGAAGGTCCTGAAGGCAATGAGATGGTGTAGAGGGCAGAATTTTTAAGAATTGGCTTCTAATTTTAGAAAGGGGTTAAGACTAAGGAAAAAGTTAGAGATAATTACATACTTTTGTCATTAAGAGAAATAGGAAACTCCAAAAGGGAGGTTGTCTGGGGCAAAACGAATGAAAAAGTCATTCTGGCACATGCTAAACATCATTAGGTCAAAAAGATGCCCAGTTATGTATTAAAAAACTGTAATAAATGTGGGTCTGAATCTTGGGATTAAAAAAATAAATCCTTTGGCATTCATCAGTAGAGAGCTGTTAATGGAAGTCATGGATGTAACCGACACAGAGAATGCAGAACAGGTGTACAGCCAAAGTATCCAGGAGAACCTCCTGGGGAGGGGCGGTAACATGAGCAAGAATGCCAGACTCTACAAAGAAGGAAGAGAATAAAGACTTTCCAATTAGTACAACACTGCAAAATGTTGGATGACACTGGACTGGAGGAGAACCGTTTCATTAGAGAAAGGAAGACAGAAACAAGGCCACAAGGGGTGATGGCCTGAATGAGTGGAAAGTAGGAGTGAAATCATCTCTAATTCCACATGGATAGCATGCCCCAGTATACATAAACTTCTGTATAATATAAACAATTGGAAACCATAGGAGCAAATCAGCAAAAAAAAATATATATATATATATATATATACACACACACACACATACATATATAAACTTTTACCTTCTTGTGATTCTTGTAAACATTTCTGTGGGCAAATCCCTTTCCACAAAGCTTGCACTTGTATGGTTTATCTTCACTGTGTATCACTTTGTGGGCACCCACTTGATCAAGCCTCTTGAAAGACTTATTACAAATCTCACAATTATAGGGCCGTTTTTCTGTGAAAAATGAGTGGAGACAATCTCATATCTACATAAAGGTAAAGGATAAAAAGGGAAATAGCCTTACCTTATCTCACTTCTTATGGATAAATCAACTAAAATGTGATCGAAACAAATGAAAAATATCTACTACCTAATCCATCTGTTAGATACGTGTGTCTATTCATAAAAGAAATGTGAGCTTATTCATTCATATACCTATTTTGTAAACTAAATGTATAAAGTAACTTGGATGTAAAGATGAAGTTTAAATTCATGGAAGAAATCTTACTTCTAGATGAAAAACCTGCTGATAAGTGTGAGATGAAATCAGGGTCATAACTCCAAATGCTGAGTGGCCTGACAATGATGAAGTGAACGACAGACCAGCCTCCTGCTCAGCCAAGTGGACAGCATATAAGCAGAACTTCCCTCTCTCAGCAGAAACTACACACTTAGGTAAAAAAAATCCATATTTATACAATATCTGTGTAATGTTGACAACAAGATAAAATCATAGTTTGTTTCAAACAAAGCAGATCTGAAGGCCACCAGATTTTGATCTCCTATTTTCATTTACCAAAATATCTGTATCTATCTCCAAAGTGGATATTCAAAGTCATTTTACCTTCAATGGCCTCAAATTATAGACATTCTAAACTCTACAGAAGGACTTCATAAAGCAAAAATTATTTTCAGAGCTGACTTTAAAAAAAAGAAAATCTGTACAACAGATCTTTACTCAAACTTGTTTAAAATGAAAATATTGGCATTGTAAACATACTCTCAAAATGTACCTATAAATTTCTCACTAACATTTATTAATTCCTTAGTTAGACTATAAAACTATCTATAAATGTTAAGAACTAAATCTGTTGAATCCCTCCTAAATGTCAGACACTATGCTAGCACAGCACATATATGATCTCATTTAACCTTCCCAGCAACTTTGAAAAGTAGAATACCTTTACACAGATGAAGAATACAGAATCCAATGCTCGATGCACCCACTTAAGGAGGAGTATGAACAAATTAAATGGTGACTCTGAAGATCTTTGATATCACTTAGTCCAACCACCTTTGCTTTGTAAATAAACTGAGGTCTACAGAAGTTAAGCAACTTGTTCAAAATCACAAGGCTAGTTAATGGCAAAGCTAGAACTAATCACCAGATCTCCTAAATACTGCTCTCAGAGCTTCTGAAAATAACAGTCTTCCGTTGTGACTACCACATAAGTGGAAAAATATGTATTTTACCTGAGTGGGTGATCATATGACGTTTTAGCTGATTAGCTGAAATAAATTTCTTCATACATTCTTGGCAGTCAAATATCTCATGAATCTGCAAAAGGTTCAATTGACAGTTAAGTCAAATAATTTAAAAGCAAATAAATTATGTAAAGCTCAAATAAAACTATAAACATATGGACAGCTGCTACTGTAATATTGAAACTCCACATTATAATTCAGCCTTAATTTGTTCATACTACTATATAAATTGAAAATGCAATAAATATGTTACCTGATAAAAACATATGATTAAAATAAAATATGATTGCACACTATTTATATATATAATACTGTGACCTACTCAGTGCATATTAAATTACATACTCTGTAAAAATTTCTACCTAGTATACATTAACTCTTTTTATTATGCACAAATTTAGACTTGGAAATATGTAGGCAATAATATTGCCTTTCAGTAGTCAACACTATTTTAAACTTAAATGTATACAGGTAATACAGAACAAAACATGAATTACCATGAAAGACAAAATACATGATTCTGAAAAACATTTAGCTCACAGTAAAACTCTTGAACAGTAGGAGGATCACAAAAATGAAAAGATCAAAAACCATAATAAGTAAGGGGGAGGAGCATAACCTTAGCAATAAACTGGCTAAATATTTCAAATGAATATTTAGTTCCTTCCCTCCGGAAAAATTGGATAGGCAGTAAGAAAAGTACAAGCCCAGTTCATTATCAGAAACAATGTACAAAGTTCTAAGAGGAATGTATGCCAAGAAGCCTTATATTAGAAAGGTTGATCATCCCAATGAACAAGAGCACAACAGCATTTTGCTGAAGATTTAAAAATGGCTTTGGTGATAGTCATGTTTTTGTTCCAACCTCATTAATGGTAGAGCTCACAAAACTAAACCCCACACAAGCAAAAGCCCTTTTGCAAGAAGCTAAGACACCATGGTTATCCCTGTGGACAAAACAGGGCCACTAAAGAGTAAAAGTAAAGGCAGAAAACACTGAACTGGCAAAGCAATGAATAATGAGTGGCAGAATGGGTTGTCTCCCGGTGAATGGCTCCCTTTATCTAAATGGCCATGGAAGAACTTATGGCAGGGAAACAAATCAGGGGGCAAGGCTAACAGATCTCAGGTCTGTCTACCAGCTGGGCCTTAATTTCATGCCCAGCCCCATGGCAGGTTGAGGCCACCAACCCACCTTCTGCTCCTGTCAGGTCTGATTCTTGGTGAGTCAGTAAACTCAGCTGGGAAAAGCAGAGAAAAGGTAGAGAAACAAGACAGAAGCAGAAATGCATCATTCCACTAGTTGACTTACATCCCTGCTTACATGCAGTGGCATCTAATCTCCATCAGTGAATGTATAGAGTCCAGAGAGTTCTACGGTTCCTCAGAAAACAGTGTGGGATCTGCACAAGCACTCAGAAGGCAACTGCCACACAGTACAGAAGGAAAACTTTCAGCCTGAGATATTTTCAAGGCAGCCTCTTCAATCATCAAAGACCCTCACAGTGTTTTCTGTTGAACACCTATGTTTAAAGAGCAATAATATGACATATAATGTTCATTTAAAGATAGTAAGAACAGATTTATATTTCTAAACTCTGTATTTTGGTATTATACCATAGATCTTTTATAATAACAAGACACTTCAAAAATCATGAAATGCTTTCTGAGCCATATATAAGTGAAAACACTTTTAGTCTATTTTCAATGTTAAATTTATATTAGTATATAAAAATTTTTGAATTATTAATCCATATATAACATGGCAACTATTAAATAAAATACTTCAAAATAGTACTCATAGTATTCACTTCTTAACTCTTATGGCTTCTAAAATATGAAACATTTTTAAAGTGAATTGAACTGATATTCTTAAAATTATAAAACAGAATATTTACTATACATGAAAGCATTTTTACATTGACTCTCTGAGTTACAGTGGAAAATTCAGACCAAAGTTATTTCCAAAACTCCTAAAAAGGTTGAATAAATCAATCAGATTTAAAGTGAAAGTGGTAATAAGTAGTATTATTTATTTATGCCTAATGCTAAATAATGCACATTTTAGAAAACATCCAGCTTACTAAATTAATACGGGGGTACTAACTTACAACTGGAAGTCCCAAATTAAATAATTTTCAAGAAGGATCATAATACAGATTATTATAACATAGGATAGTATACAATAAAATAAAATACTAGACTATAATGCAATTTGGCATATTCATAAAGTGCCATCTACTGGAAATATGCAGTACTGCAACCAAACTCTACTAGACATTTTGACATACCCAAGTATGACATACCAAGAATAGAGTCAAAAATGGAATCCTAAAAGCTGCCTATGGTTTCAGAAAGGCTACAATGGAGAAGCTATGCTGTAAAGGAGGAAGTGTTACACTGAACTAATAAATTACTAACATTCTACAGAAACTACCTGTGTGTTGTATTCTATCACCACCAGGCAGTTTAGATTTACCCAGATATACCCAGATAAAAGAGTTCTTGTATTTTGAAGAAAAGAAATGGAAAAGAGAACATTTTTCAGAAATATGCCCTCCAACCAAGGTTGCTGAAACATTTATCTGGTAAAATCTTAAATTTGGTAAAGTATCTAATTTCTATTTCTTAAGATTTTAAGAGATTAAAGAGAAATAAATCATAATTACAAAGGCAAGAGGATATTTAGAAAAGATATTTTCAACTGGATTTAATCTTTTTGTCTCAGACTAGGGTTCTGTTTCAAAAGCATAAGAGTGACAGAAAAGGAGAAAGGGAGACCTAAACAAGGAAACATCTGGATTGGCATTCTGTGCAAAACTGATTTTGAAAAGTAGTTTCAGTGCTTACTTTGGCAGCACATATACTAAAACTGGAATGATACAGAGAAGATTATCATGGCCCCTGACTGAGAATTACATGCAAATTCTTGAAGTGCTCCATATTTTTAAACAATCTTATAAATTAGCCATTTGGAAATGGAAAAAAAGTAGTTACATGGCACTTAAGAGAAGATATTAAACAATACACTGATCAATTCAATGTCACCTTTAATAACTAAGAGAACAGAGGCCCAATGTTACATGGATGGTTAGGGATGGAGGAGGATGACACCCCCTGTCCTCACTCTCAGTCCGGTGCTGCTTCTGTTATTTCTCCCTAAGGATCAAAATCACTCAACATATAGAATACAACCTCAGACATCTTAACAATTTAACTATCTCATATGTTTATAGTTTAAATCCATAGCACATGGTTGGAGCTACTGGATTGATTATCATATGAATGTTAAGGTCTTTCAAGTTACTTTGAAAAAAAATATCAATATACAAATAAAGAGACAAAGTTCATTTTATAAACCATAATAAAAGTAATATTTTACATTTACTAGGACCATCTCCACTCTTTTTCGGTATTAAATAACTAAAATAATATTACATAGTCCTAGATATTCTAAAAACATGTGAAGTTAGGAAATAATCATTTATCTTTGTTATAATAATATAATATAATGCAATGTAACATAATGTAATGTAACATAATGCAATGTAATACAATATGAAATTTTTTGGACTTGCCATGATATAAATGAAAATCTAAATTCTATTTTACTTCTATTCTATCATAAATTCTATTAACTGGTACTAGGGTTGTTAGGATTAGTAACTGCCATTTATTTTTCAGGTTAACTTTTCACATTAAAATAATAATTTAGTAAGCTTTACACTTACTACAAAATGTATTACATTTATTTTATCCTAATATGGTCATTTATTTCTTCTACAACTCTTCAACATACTTGTACATTACTTTTAGCTCTTCAAAATGATGGGAGTTGTTGTTTTGCTTTGCCAGACTTAACTATAATATGCATTCATTTCAATAGACAAATGCCACTGGAAAGCATATTATAAATGCACAAACATATGGCTTCATCAAATTTATGATATTTCCTGAGCAAACAGCAACTGACAAAGCTTGAAACCAGGTGTTATAGTGAAGGGGTCAGCTAGACATAACATTTTGCATTAGAGAAATATTTCTACTAATTCAGAGCAAAAAAATGTTCTTTTGTAAGAGTTTACTTTTCTGCATATCAGTCTTATATTTAGGAATATGGTAGTATTTAAATTAAAGACAAAGCTTTGTCTTTATGACATTAAAAAATTAAAAGTTTTCATGGCAGACTCTATAAAATGACTGATGATCTTAAACTCTAACGTACATTAGTCTTTATTTTACAGACCTTTCTGTGTTCCTGCAGGCTTGAAGCCGAAGAACACTTCTTATTGCACACTGAACATATGAGCTTTTTCTTAGGATCTCCTGAAATACAAACAAAATATCATCATGATTTAAATGAGAATATTGAGAGGAGCACCAGATGCAGTGTTGCTAGGTGATATATCGTTTCTAAAGAGTTATTTTATCTTCTTAATTTACAATTCCAAAACTTCCACTGCTATAGTTATACCCATTAAACTCAAATGAAGAATAAGTTGTATTTTAAACCCTTTCTTTTTGAATTTGAGAAGTATTCATCTTTATATACCACTTTTCGCATATATAAAATAGGCCTTTCACCTTTCTATGTACTAATTTAGAATTAAAAGAGAAAAGAACACTTCTACAAAAAATTTAAATTGAAATTAATCAAATGTTTTTATAAAAGAAAAATTGAGTTTATTAATTCATGAGTTGATTTTGCTACTTGCTTTAAATTCTGAGTATTTAATTTAATCAGCTGGGTTTTTAAAGATGGATTTCATAAATTATTCTTTCCAGCACAAGACTCTTGCAAAAATCTAGCATATGCTTTATCATATTAATGTTAAAAAACAATAAAGTAAAATCAAGTCAATAAAATATTACATTGGCACTCATGTTATACAAATCAAAACAAAGCCCAATTTTATCTTTACAGTGACTATAGTAGCTCATTTCATATTTTGAATTTCCAGTGGTTACAGAAATGAAAAGATTCAAACATTTTTTAAATATGATGTAATAACAGTATCATCTGTGCTAGCGTAACCACAAAATGTTTTATTCGACTTTTAATTGATTAATTTCAAATACACAAAAAGTAAACAAATAATATACAGAGCAACCATGTATCCATCACCTGGCCCCAAAGATGACTAATCTTTGGCTGTTCCTTCCCCCAACCTCCACCGCACCAACTCCTTCACTTCCCTATTATTTTGAAAGAATCTAAAACAAATTGAAAACATTACAAAATGACTTCATTGGATTACAGGACTGTGTTTATGAAAGAGAAAAACTTTAAGCAAATGGAAAATAGGAATTTTTGTCTTGCTATTCAAAATACGTATTTCATATAATGAACTAATTAAGCATGTTATATATTTCAGCCAAGAAATTTTTCTTGGTGATTGACAAGGAATATCGCTACTAAAAGAGAAAATTCTCCCAAACAAAATGAGAATCTGACAGCACCTATTTAGTCATCAATTCCTTATCAACAGCTATTATACATGATGAGCCAACTCAGAAAGAATATCCCCTTTTTCAGGTACCACTAGCTGGGACTCTCCTTCAATCCTTAATCCTTTAAAGCCCTGTCTAACTGCTCCTTGAAAGCAGACCCTATCCTTTTCCATTGGGTAGGGAAGAGCCTCAGGGAGAAGAGAGAAAGAAGTGAGACCTCCCCCAACACCCATCTTGCTTGACCCCTGTACTCCTGCCACTGCTCCTATAGCTGGAATCCGAGGCAATACACCAAGCCCCCATCCCTAGTCTTCAAACTTTTCTCTCTTCCTTATGTCTTAGATTCTTCATCCTAGAACTGGAATCCTAGCTCCTTTGAGAAAAAATATGGGAAAAGTTTACAACTATTTGCCTGAGAATGTAAATAAATGTTATCTTCAATAAATACAAAATCTCTTGTTTAGCATCCACAGAATCTAAGCAAATGAGAAAGTTGGAAGTGAATTAAGGAAGTCAGCCCCTTCATTTGGTTTCCTTCTGCATAACTGTGAAGGTTCTCATTGTCCCACCAGCTTCTCCAGATTCAAAGACAAGAACACCTCCAAACACACAACTAGACTTTATACTATTTTAGTTTCCTATATTCAGATAAGTCTGATTTTTGACTTTCAGATTCAATTTCAGAAGTATCGGTACCACATTACATTCAAACGTACGAGATGCGTAAGAAATTAATACAACTGTAGTGAATACATAGTTACTTAAGTACTGCAAGTTTCAGTCAATGCGGGCTTAGCATGCTGCTAGGAGCTAGTCTGACAACCTACCCACTACACATTACTGTCTCTCTGGAAAAATGTGATCCATATTTTTAAAATTCAGCTTCTCTCTCCTCAGCATCTTCAATTCATATCACCTAACAAGAAACATTTGTCATCATCAGTGGTAAAAGCTGTAAGATCTTCTTGGCCTTTCTACAGTAAAGTGTTCTACAACCACATGTGTGAACACTGCTTTGCCTACTATTCCACATATGGAATATTCTTTTCCCAAATGTCTGTGTAGCTCACAGAGGAAAGAGAGAGGCTATGAATGAGAGACAGATTGTGTCCCCGTCCCAGCAAAAGATATGCATGGTTACCTTTGGCTGAAATAGAGTAAGTTTCATATTTTACATGATCCACATCAGAAAAATTTAAAAATTTCCTTTTATAAATTATTTCCTACAAAATCACCATGAATTTCCAGAATCATAATATTACAATATCCAAGGCTAATTACAAGAAGCCTCTAAGAAATTCTGCTTGTAGCACAGCCTGAAGACCACATGCCCAATAACGATAATGCCAATTTCCAGAGTTTCAGTATGCATCTGGTTTTTCACTTAGTTCAGCAAAGTTAACTTAAAAATGACATGAAAGATTTGTTATAATACATTGCAGACTAAGATGGAGAAAATTAAGAACAGCATTTTAAACATAACAGCTTTTTCTTCAAAAAAATTTATGAAGACATGTCTGTCAAAAAGTTATGCTTGCCTTTTGCAAGCATAGGGAAGGCCCAAGTATAATGAATTCAGAAAAATTCCATCTTCTCTAATCAACCACACAGTCTTTGAAAGAGAAGAAAGAAATCAGAACACTTGAAGTCCTCATGATGAGCATCACCCTGAAGCTGTATTTCCCAAGGCTACCCCTTCTGCAACCCAGAGCTTTCCTAATGCTCAGACTTAATGGGCAGCCCAACTCATGGTACAAAGTTGGAGTCAGTAGTCACACACATACTAGTTTCTAATGAGCACTGAAGGAGACACTTTTTGAGCAATGAACACACACAGGATAAAGAAGCCAAGCTGATTATCCTCTTCTTTGGAATGTAAGAATAAATGAGATAGGAAAAAAGAAATCCACTTCCCTCATATTCAGAAAGATGCATTTCTACCCACTTTGCAGAAGCCATGGGCAAAGGTAAACACATAAGAAAAATATAGGTGCAGAAGGGTATGAGGAGTTCTGTGAACCTCAGCCTCCTGAAAGGAGAAAGCACTAAGGAAGTAAAGTGACCTCTGCCAATGCAGCCATCTGGTCAACTCAGTGCAGATTCGTTCCCTAGACCAACATACACTGACCATGCACTAAGCAGACAAAATCTAAGTGACAGTCAAATTTATATTTCTTTTATTATTTAGCTAGCCATTAGAAGGAATTCAAACAGAATCTGCTTTTATTAATCCAAACATATTCAATTCCCTTGCAAAATGTAGTCAGTAATTTTCTCCAATATAGAAGAAATATGAGCATTTAAAAAATGGAATTTTACTGTAAAAATCTTAAGGCAGAAGGGCATCATTTAATAGATTTAAAATATATCTACTAAAAGAGGAATTGCATATGTTAAAATTTAAAATTATTATTAGTTTTTTTTAATTGAAATATAGTTGACATACAGTATGATGTTGCTTTCAGATATACATAAAATAGTACTTTTTAAAACAACTACATTCTAGCTTAGGTTTCCATTTATGATTAATCCAGAGATAGGAAAAATGACAAAGGCTGGCTAAAATTAACTTTAAAAATAGTGCTCAGTCGGTGCAAGAAAAATATCCGCTGCCAGAGCTCCACATCTGTGTGAAATACAAAGGAAAAGCAAGTGCTCCCCTTAAGAGTAAAAATTAAAAACAGATCACAGCAGCCTGGAGAGGGGGAAGCCCCTTTTAAAATGACCCTCCCGATGACATCTCACCAGCATGGACATTTTCCTGGTGTCTTCTCAGGGCATCCTTGCTCTTCAGCCTCTTGCCACAGCTATCAGCCCTGCACACAAACCTGGCATCTCCCCGGCAAGTCTCCTGGTGCTGCTCAAAACTACAAGACAACCAGAAAAGGAGGTGGGGGGAAGAAATGGTGAAGGCTCGTCTACAAAATTCTAACATCACAGCAGACTTTGTAATGTATGTTTCCTAGTAGAGTTTCTGGGTCATTTCATGCATTATCTGAGGAGATAAGAAGGAAAGCATTTAAATTCTGTTGCCATGTGATACTAAATCACTAAGAAGTATGAAAGCATGCATGCCAAAAATGACCCGCAATTATATAACCGTCAT